AGGAGGGGGAGGGGGAGGGGGAGGGGGAGGGAGAGGGGGATGGCTACACCGAAACCGACGTAGTCATATCCATCGAGTCGCATTGCAGAGTTGTCGTCGTCGTAAGAAAGGAGCTGCCTCCTAATCAAAATTCCTTTCCGTAACGCGATAAGATACGTCGAGCCGTTCGGTAAACGCGTCCTGTCCAACGAAATGGAACGCCACCGGTGGTAAGTTCCTCGCGTATTACGTCGTCGCGTTTTATCGAAGCTGATTCGAAAAGATCGTCGAGCTCTTTGTTCCTCTAATCGTCACTCATTTATTCTTTTTTCTTTTTTTTTTTTTTTTTTCCTTCCTTCGCAAAAGCTTTCTGTAGCGTGTACTTTAACGCTTTGTGGTTTGCCTCTGCAATCTCTTTTTTTTTTCTTATTCTATTTTTTTTTTTTTTTTTTTTTTAATGTACACGAGATAATCTACTAATGCTTATGATAACGATGCAAAAGCGTCACTGGCGAATTAGTTCCCCATGAAAGAGCAAGCTAAATAAAGCCAAAGAAGAGGGAAACGGTCTGCTTGCTTAATTGGACAGAATAGTCTTTACGTAACTCCCCCCTGTGGAAGTGAAAACTGGAAAGACACTACAATCCTCCAACTTTTGTGTTGATAAACGAAAACGGCCTTTAAATCGATCGACCCGACATCGATGGTTATACGCGGCCTATGTTGTTAGTTTCGTCTCCCTTCTCCATACTCCTTGTACGGCTTCTGACTGTGGCGCACGAAAGTCGCCAGAAGCGAGGCAACGCTTCACCGCGATGAAATACAATCCCAAAGAGAGGAGCTTCTTTCCTGTATACTTCCATCCGGAAGTGACACGCGCACCAGGCAACGGGATACGACCGATCCGACCAGTGTTTTGAAGCTACAATTGGCTTGCTTGCTTCTTAGTTAGAGAGTCGAAACGAATTTTATACAACGCGTATGCAGCGCGTTTAAGAAGCGTGTTTCAAGAACGTTTTCAACATATATTCACAAGCTTTTTTTAAAAGATACGAAAGACATAGAACGTATAAAAACATTTTTGATACAAAGTATCAAATGGAAGAACAGCGAGGTAAAAGATCTTGGATTTGGATGTAAAAGACGGGCTAATCCGCGAGTGGGGAAAAAAAAAAAAAAAATCGACAAGAATTGCACGTGTAGTGGTAAAGCACGAGGTATAAGGTTACGGACCAGCGTGCAGAGTTACACGGGGCCACGCAACCTATACAGATCGCGCCATTCGTGTAATACGAAACTGCGAGTAGTTTCTCTACACGAGCTCGTGACGATTAATCGTGGTCACGCACACCACACCTACCTATCGATGATTAACGACCGGACAATTAGTCGATCGTATACTTGTTTATGACCTGAAAATTAGTTGTGCACGTCTTATCGACGCGATCATTCCCATCGATGATTCGATAATTATCGAGGCTCGTGGAATTCCACACGTATCTCCGCCCTCCCTGTTCCTCCACCTCGTTCACCCTCCCCCTCGTTGCAGACCTCTCGAAACGAAGAATCGATCCGCCGTTCGCGTCTCTCGGTTTGCTCCCCCCTGAAAAAAGGAGAGGCAGAAGAATCGAAGAAAAAAAAAAAAGAAAAAAGAAAAACGAAAGAGGAAGAGCGGAGCGGACGGAGTAGTAGGAGGAAGAACCGTCGTAGGAGAGAAGGGTGTCGGGTGTGGAGTTTGGGATAGACAAGGAGAGAGGGAGAGAGAGAGAGAGAGAAGAGTAGTGGGTAGAGAGCGAACGAGAGAGTGAGAAGGTGGTGGTAGTAGTACGTAGCACTCCTTCGAGCCAGCGCAAGATGGATTTCCGCGAAGTTCGAGCGGGCCTTAACTCGCGAAAAATGTCAAAGTGAGTAGAAGAATAGGTGGCTGGCAGGGGCAGCAGAGGGAAGGGAAGAGTGAAAAGGGTGGCTGGTAGGTGAGGTAAAGGGGCGTAAAACGAAGCGTCGTCGTCGTCGTCATCGTCTTCTTCTTCTTCTTCGTCGTCGTCATCCTCGTCGCTACCGCCACCGCCACCACCATCACATCTACGTGCGTCCGTTGTCCGCCGCCGTTCGCGATATATACGTGTATCCGCGTGCTTAAGATCCAAAAGCGCGGTTGTCGAGGAGATGAGGGGAGGGGAGAAGATAGTCTCGTGGGGAAGAAGGCCGCGCAGGAGGAGAAAGAGAGAATTGCATGACGGAGGGACAGAGAGTTGTGGAGGGGATGATTGTCAAAACAGGGCTGCAAGACGCTACGAAAAATGTTCGTATTTATGGCACTATTTCCGCCGCCGCTTCGAACCTCCTCCTCCTCCTCCTCCTTCCTCCCCCCCCTCCCTGCCCCAACCTCCGCCCTGGATCATCCACCTCCTCCGTGCCTAGTCTTGTCTCGCCTCCTCGCGAAATCCTCTTCCTCTTTCTTTTTTACTTCCTCCTGCCGCCCGTTTTCCAGAATGCGCGCGGCCGTTCTTACTTTTCTTGCTTTTCTCTTCTCCTCTCCCTTCTTCGCGGAGTAACCCCACCACGCGTCTTCCCGCGCCTCGCTTCCCCTTCCCCCATGTCTTTCTATGTCGTTTACTCTACCCTACCTTCAGCCTCGATCCCTACTCCAAACAACCTCTCCCCACTATTGAGCATCGACTCGCCGGCGGGAGTTCCCCCCACTTTTGCGGCGCCACTTTAATGTTACATTAATAAAAAGCAACAATCAATATCTTCCCCGTAAAAAATTTTAATCTATAACAGAGAGAATTCCGGCCCCTCCCGCCGACTCCTACCACCGACCTCTCGCGTTCTTCCTCGCGCGCGCTCTCTTTCTCTCGTCCTCCCTCGTTCTCCCTCGCTCTTTCGAATTCTCTCGCTCTCCTCTGCCTCCCGCCCTCTTGAGAAAAGCGCTCGGCTACGAACCGTGCCGAGTTCACAGTATCGTATCCAGCCTGTACGGGTACCCTGTTGTCAGAGTCAACGACGCGCGAAGTGCGTGTTGTCATTTCACTTTTCACACCGGCAAGTAAAGGATTGCGCGCGCGAAACCGCCCTTCGTCGTGTTGTTGCACGTGCCCTTTTCTCGCGCCCTTTCGAGCGCGCTCGAATCCTCCGCGCCCTCCCATCCACGTTTCTATCGTACGTTTCTTTTTTTTCGTCGCTTGCAAGTTAGACTCATCTTTTGCTTTTTGTTTTTCCTCGTTTTAACCTCTCTCACTCTCGCTCTTTCAATCATTATTTATTCTCTCTCTCTCTCGTGCGCGCGCGGATTTTTCTCTCTCTCTCTCTCTCTCTCTGCTCTGTGTTTTTCCCCTCTTTCTCTCTGTATATCTGTCCGACTCGCTCGCACTCCAGTGATATACACGCGTGATATTCGTTGGGGAGAATAGGGAGCGGAGAAGGGGACAGTTGTGCGTATGCGTATGCGTATACACGCTTAACATACGGAAGTCGAAAATGTGACGGGTTGGTGTAGTGTATCGTTGCAAATATATACGTGTATTAGGAAAAACATGCTTGCAGCTTCTCCTTTCAGCGATCTCACGTATTCGGGCGCGACCGCTAGGAGGGGAAAAAATACGTAACATAGACGAAGAGAATGAATAGGGAGCATTGTTGGTATCGTTCCTCGTGTATTGAACTCTCTGCATCGGAGTTTGCATCGGTGGCGCAATAAAATTTACATCGACGGGAAGTTAACGTGACATCTATGTGTCGCGCATCTGTATTAAGTACGCGAAGTATTGGACGTAAACTGTTCCTATCAATTTTTACTTAAATTTCGACGAGCTACTGCCAGTGAGTGTGAGAATTGTTCGATGGTCTCGTAACGAGCGCGCTGACCTTTGTTATCGCGCTCGACGAATTGTTTTTCCGCAAAAGTTCACTCGAATATTTATCTCGTGCGATTGGCCGTGCGATCAAAAGGAATACGAGCGGAATAAAATTCAAAATAGCACGGTTAAATTTCTTTGTTACTCTGATTTTGCGTTCATATGTAACCACGATCGGGGATATGACTTCTCTCGATTTAAATTTTTTCTTTCCGGACAAAAGGGTAGAGGAGTAGCGGCGCGAGCGAGCAAGCGAGCGAGCGAGGGAGGGAAAGAGAAAGAGAAAGAGAAGGAGAAAGAGAGAAATCGCGCTCAGCGAAAAAGACGAAGAGAAAACGGAGAGAGAGAAAGAGGAAGAGTAAGACGGATAACACGAAAGAGACAGAGTGGGAAAGGGAGGGAGAAACAGCGGTCTCGCGCATCTCTGCGCGCGACGAAGGCAACTGAGCTTCTTCGGACCTCAAGAGACTATAGTCGACTATTTTAACTTGAACACTATGTTTTGTAGCGTATCTTACCGCTGACTCGGCGGAAACCGTGTATTGTTATCTCTAATTTTTTTTTTCTGCGCACCTCCTCATTGTGAAATTCATTGATATCGTTGAAAACCTTTTCGACCACATTATCTTGAATTCATATTCGTCGTCAATTTTTGCACGCGAGATCGAGTGCAATCGAATGTCGCCGTTCGATCCGCGATCGCGCTCGGACCGCAGAATAATCCGCGAATAACTAATCAAAACATCGAATTTTTTTCCGCGCGTGTTTTCGTAGAAAGTTTCCAAGTTGTGCCAAGTGTGTCGAGACAGAGCCGTTAGAGTTCGAATCAAATTTGTGCCGCGTGACATCAACGATAAGTGATTCCCCGTTTCGGACCCCAAGGTTCAACAATTACGAATCTTCGCATCATATTAACGAATGTGTCGCGCAGCTTTGACAAGTGACTTCGTCCAATCGAAGAGAAAAACGTACGTACGAAAAATATTTACTTTTAATCTTTTTCCTTCGTGAAAATCGAGACAAAATAAATACATACATACACATACACGCGCGCGCGCGCGCGCGCGCGCGCACACACACACACACACACACACACACACACACACACACACACATACATATATGTATATATTTTTCAATATCGCGCGAGCTAAAATAAAATAATGCTCCTTACGATCGGTATTTTGACCTCTCTTACGGCCGGAACGTATCCACGGATGTGTTCAAAGGAAAACGCGAATTCCTTAACAGGATGACATTGCATCGGGATCTCTCGCCCCTGGCCGTGCAACGCGCGTAGGTCAGGTTAGAAACCTGTGCGAACGTTTCCGCGACGCATGCTGCTCTATGTGTGCGCGCCGCACGATAGACAGAGAGCATGCTATCGAGGTAACGAAGCAGAAAGATCGAAACAGAGCCGCGAACAACACAACAAGCGAGAGGGAGAGATATGTATAACTATACGGTTAATAGAAAAAGAAGGGGATAAAGCACGAGAGTGAGAAAGGAAAGAGAGCACGCGGCATGGTTGTAGCGTGGTAGCGTTGAATTCGTACGGGTGACTGAATGGAATGAGTCGTCTGTGGTTGTGCGGGGAAGGGTGAGGGTCGGACCAATAGAGTCGGGAGTTTCGTCAGAGCCGCGAATGGAGGGGAAGTGGCGTTGCTGGAGGGGGGGAGCTGACGGACTTACACACGTGCGTTCGAACATACGCTACGCGTACGCTCGTTGCGTTCGCACAAAACTTATATAGCGGTTGTACTCCGCCAATCCTGTCTAGTAGTAATGGAATTGATTTAACAGTGATAGTTACACATAGATTTCCGATCGATATCGAGCTCTCGTTCGTTTCGATCGATAAATTATCCAATAAATTATTAATAAGACGAATAATTAATAATTTTTACTCGCTGTATATTATAATATTTTATAATATCTTTATCATATTTGCATATATATAGCGAAAAGTGCAATTATGAAAATACCGTGTATAAAAAATGATATAAAGAACAAAAAAGAAAAGGAAAATATAATATTGGATCGCAATAATATTCGTATTTGTCACTCAAGCAGTCACCGATGTCAAAGTTCATTCGGTAGTATCAGTAGCGCCTGGGAGAGCGTCATTCCCATTCCTTGTCCCGTGCGGTACGTAGCCTCATACACTCACGCATACTCGCACACGTATACAACTCGTTTATTCTGTCTCTCCGCTCGCGTAGTACGTGCGAGTGTGGAAAACCAGCTGTGCGAATCGATTGGTAGAGGATTCGATTTTTCTCTTTCCCATCGATGCTGCGGATTGATAAGTAGTCACGTGACCAGATTTATTCAAAGGATTTACCGGGGAACATTCGTTACGTTGATTTCGACGCAATTTCGACGCGTTTATATATATATATATATATACGTGGATACGAAATTAAGAGATGATTTTCGTTATATATTACAAAATTAACGTGTTTATCGATCGAGTTCCGTATCCATCGCTTGAAATCGTGTAATAACAGAACTTTCTGACAAATGTTTTGTTATTATTCAAAATTCACGTGAATTCTGACGTGAAGCATATCAGTCTATAAAAATTTGTCTAATTATTATATATATATGTGTGTGTGTGTGTGTGTGTGTGTGTGTGTTAAGATTTATCGATTAACACGAATCCTTTTAATTTTCTTCCATTTTAATCACAGATTAATATTTATATATTATACTCTTATCGTACAACATAGCGATTAAAAAACACTTTATGAATAATAAATTAGTATTTTTTTTTTCACAAGTTTAATTGTAATTGTTAATAGTGATAAATAAAAAATAGAATGAATAATAATGGTCGGATAAAGTTATAATGTGTTAATTATTTAAAAACTCGCAATTTTTTCGTATCGATCAATTTTTTTGCTCGGAAAAATCATGTAATGCTTTTTATGTAAATTATCATAAACAAAATATGCCTGGTCATTGCAATCTACGCCACTGTCAAGAGTTTTACGAGCAGAGTTAACGATGATCGCACGTACGATTGGAGTGATATAGCTACGAATAGGAAGTGTATTCATAGCGATTTTAAAGTTTGTTCAACTTTAAAAAAAAGACACATTGTTTTTAAGTACAATTTTTTTTCTTTTTTTATTCTCTTCTTCCTTTTTTCCTTGAAATTAATTGATAAACACGCGCCCCCTTTGCCGCTCTATTTATTATTATCGCAAACAAATAGATTTGATTTACATACAACATGATTTATCGTATCGTGTCGTATTATTTCAATGAAAAAAGAAAAATAACGTATCAGGTTTTGCCATCTACATAATCAAACATTTTCTTTAACAGGATATTCAATCATACACGTATAATTTTTATAAATATTCTATCTGTAATTAGCTGCAATTACATAAAAAAATCCTTGTATGTACCAAGAAGTTATGATTTTTATAATTGAAATCGATAAGATTTTTTTTTATCGTGAATAATTCTCTATCAACTCGTGTATATATACATATATATATATATATATATATATATATATATATGTGTGTATATCAATAATTGTACGAAAGTAAA